GTTCCTGTTCCGTTTCTAGCGTTTCTGTAATTCCATTCCCACTGTCCCGCTTGTATTCCTCTCCTGACCCGCTTTATTTTATTTGGTTTTTAGCTGATATTGCTGATTTCGATCTAGATCGGTACGTCGACAGGTAGTTGTGGTTTAGACCTACGAGATTGTTTCATACGTTGAACTGCATACTAAGACTTTGGTATTTGTATCTGTGTCCGTGTCGGTGTGTCTGCGTGTGTCTGTCTGGGTGTTTTGTACATATACTGAATCGTAATCGTTATCGGTATCGCTATCGTTATCGGTTTGCACATACACTTACACATAAACATGTAGCTGCAGGGGGGCTAGGAAATCAAGGGGTAAATGTTAGGGTTTAGTCAAGTTGGTCCAAATTGCTCATATCCTTGTCTAAATATTTGATTAGGTACGAACAAGCATTTGTCTTTGGAACTTGTTCTTTCTATCGCTATCGGATCTCATCCGATCTATCTTTTCCAAATTTCATTTAACCAACTTTCGGAAGGGGAATGCATTTAATTGACTGCCAAAAAGTACGCTAAATATTTACGTGATTGCCGAAAAGCGATAAGAACGCCCCTGCAATGCTCTGTAGCGATTCGATAATTCCGATGTTTGTCAAAAATATCGATAACATAATTCGGTTATCCTAATGTTTTACACTCTCAGGCCGATAATTTCGTTTCATCGAATACTTTATGTAATATTTTGACAACAACAGAAAACATTTCAATAAAATCTAATTCTTATTTTATTAATTAAGGACATTTTGGAATTTAATTCGGACTTTTAAAATAAATAAATGTGTATATTAATTAAATGGATTCAGATAAAAATTATTATCCAAACTTATTAAACTTCTATTATATTTAAGATTTTCTAAAATGCATATTCACCTATTGTCTTTATTTATTATTACAACAAATATCTTTTCTTTTTAATATTTTTAGATAAAATGAAACAAGTGAATCAATTATCATAAACTGTCATCCATTTTGTCTATTCTTTTGGTTGAAAAACTTGGTCATTTGAGTAACTAATTGTTATCTGATGCTCCATTGCAAGGACATTTATATTTTCGGCCTGTCAAATTTATTCATCCATTTTAGTTTTTGGCCAAGATCTGGCTTGCTTTGCGTTTTTTTTTCTTTTCTTGGACTCTAAACTAGTTTAGTTATGCTTAAAATTGTTCACATTTGGTTTTTGGGGTTTAGTTTGTCATTTTTTGTTTTGTTTTATACATTTGTAAAACACCTAGAGTTCTTTTTATGATTTTGTAGTTGTAGTATCTTTAAGATAAATATTTATGTATATATATATATATATTTTAATGTATATGTATAGTTGGTTTTGTTGGAAAGTTCTTTGTTTGGTTTTCGTTTTCTTTTTTGTTTTTTTTTTTTTTGTTGATTTTGTTTAAATTCAAGTTTTAGTCTTTATGTTTTGTCATTCAAACAAGGGAAGTTGGTGGCATGAACAATATAAAACGCTGTGGCAAATGGAAGGGAGTTTTCCGCGGAAAACCCATCCACACAGCTGCAATGCAGTACAGTAGTAGTTGTTGTAGTAGTATTATAAGGCAACAAATCAATTTGATGTGTTAGCTAATTTAGAGTGGTTCGTTTACGTTGAGTCTTAGGTCTAAGAGTTTGCCTTCAGGGGATTTCATTGGTAATCATTTTCCATTTTGCTAGTTGATCTTGGTGCATTTCCTTTGCAGTCCCTGCTCGGGCGCCATATGTAAGCTAGTGTCCTGCTCAGTCTATGCAGGTACACTGACAGAAAACTGTTATATATGTGCGGGGACTGATAGGTACATTCACGAATACACTCGATAAAATTATCATTAGGCAGCTAGTCTCAAATCTAACTACAGAAACACACACAACGAGCGGGGATCCACACGCAAAGAATTATTTAGTTGGGCATACACCGATGCGATCTGGTTTACATATGCTTTTTTATTTAATTTATATATGTATATATATAAATTATTTTTGACTTACGCACTACAACAAACGTACACACAACTTAGAGAGAAAATGACACGTACACATCTAGGTATTATGCATATGCAGCTTGCAATTACAATGCACAGTTAGTTGAGAGTATTTGCTGCGATTTGCTAGACATTCAAATGTACACCGAATAAATATTCATCTTAACTCGTTTATCGAATTGAACGCTCAATTAGTGCTCGCTTAATTACACACATTCAAAAAAAATACAACTCTTTATAACTGCATCTGCAAATGTAACTGTAACTGTAAATGTATCTGTATCTGTATCTTTATCTGTATCTGTATCTTTATCTGCATCTTTATCCAAGGACCAGCTTGGTCTCCTCACTTCACAATGCATAATATACTTCGTAACTTTATTATTTTGGCTCTTCTTTTTTTTCTCTGTGTCGCCATATCGTAATTGAATCAATGTTTCCCCTTTGCCAATCAAAGTGAGTGTTAAGCTATATTTAACATAATTACATACAGAAATTTACATTGATCATAATTAACTGGGGTATCTTATTTTTTTCTGCATTTTGCTGGGATATGTGAATGCAGTTGGCCTCAAATCGTTTTTATTATCGAATGCAAATTGATATTTGTTTTTTTTGGGGGGCACCACATCCCGAAGGATTTTCTCATTTTCAAACCGATCAACCGAACCCCCCACCCCCCATCGTTTTTAGCAGTTGCATAATCGAAAGGATTGGAGCTCCCACAGTGTCTTCTAACACCAGTTTACAAAAGAAAATTGATGAAATACGCCTTTCAGGAAACCTTTGTTTTCCGGTAAGATACATCTCCCTGATTAAGAAAAGGGCACTTAAAATTTTTTCTATGGTACCAATTTTTTTTTAAGTGTAAAAAACGTTTTTCGCACTTTTTTATTTTCTAACTCGAGTTGTGATAAACCGAATTCGGTCATTAAGGACTCATTTTACAGGTAATAGAATGCCCTTTAACTTTCTTATACACATCATTAAGTTCCATTCATTAGTTCAAAAGCTACACTTCGTCAAAGTTGAAAAATTTGGAAAAAAATCAAAAACGCTGGCATAAATGGCTTCTTTAAAAATACACGCGTAAAAACCGAAATTAGTTTTATGTTGTTTTCTTGAAGGCTGAACCATAACGGAGAATATGCGCCATAGATCACGACAATCCGTTGGTAAATCGATTTTTAACAGATTTTTAAACGTATATACCCAAGTTCAGTATTCGGGAGCAGCGGCCGTTAAACGTTATTTTAAATTTTCAGTGTTGGGGAACGTAAGAATTTGGTGCAAGTTGTTATGCATAACGTCAGTTTCCTTGCTATTAGCGCTGGGCAAGCTAAAAAGTATGCGATTGCAGTTACGAGGAAATCATTTTTATATATTTTTAGCAAGGAAACTGACGTTATGCATAACAACTTGCACCAAATTCTTACGTTCCCCAACACTGAAAATTTAAAATAACGTTTAACGGCCGCTGCTCCCGAATACTGAACTTGGGTATATACGTTTAAAAATCTGTTAAAAATCGATTTACCAACGGATTGTCGTGATCTATGGCGCATATTCTCCGTTATGGTTCAGCCTTCAAGAAAACAACATAAAACTAATTTCGGTTTTTACGCGTGTATTTTTAAAGAAGCCATTTATGCCAGCGTTTTTGATTTTTTTCCAAATTTTTCAACTTTGACGAAGTGTAGCTTTTGAACTAATGAATGGAACTTAATGATGTGTATAAGAAAGTTAAAGGGCATTCTATTACCTGTAAAATGAGTCCTTAATGACCGAATTCGGTTTATCACAACTCGAGTTAGAAAATAAAAAAGTGCGAAAAACGTTTTTTACACTTAAAAAAAAATTGGTACCATAGAAAAAATTTTAAGTGCCCTTTTCTTAATCAGGGAGATGTATCTTACCGGAAAACAAAGGTTTCCTGAAAGGCGTATTTCATCAATTTTTTTTTGTAAACTGGTGTAATTGAGCACTGCCACCAGTGTCATCATTAGCAACACATCAACAGCTGCGGCGGCAAAATCCAATTGACTGGCCCCATGCTAAATGGTTACTCCTACGGGCATCCCGCAGCAACGACTTTCCAACCACGCGGAAAAATCGCAACCAACAAACCAAAAAAATGGGGGGGGGGGGATGGTAGGGGGTAAAGGAAAATGGCCCAAAAAGTGGAACGCCAACGTCGAGCTTGAAGCAAATGGAATTAGGCGACTGGGACCCGAAACTACATCGAAAAACCCGGCGACCCACGCCTGTTGCATATATGCATACATGGCAGTTTGGCGAAATTTGTTTTGCGTAATTAGACGTGAATTTCGCATGAGAGCGAAACCGAAGGCTAACGTTTTTCGGTGGAGGCACTCTGGACTCCGACATTGAAATCGCATTGGGTTCCGGCCAAGCCAGTTGAACGGGAAATCGAGGAATGCTGGGCATTCCCGGGGCAAAACCTTCGCAAAACTGATTTTCCTGAGAAATAACTGAATGCATTCTGACTAATTATTCTCTGAATTTTCCGTTTTATCAGTAGGTTAGATACCTACGGCTCAATTAAATCTGTTTTACAAATGGTTATATTATTTATGAGAGGCATTTCCCTCTGAAAATGTTGTACACTGACCGCATATTACTTGAAACACACTTGTGGCTAAGATTATGCTACATTCCACTGCAGTCCCTGTTTGGGCGCCATGTATAGTAATTTTTTTTTGCAAGGAATTACTGAGATCTCTTTGTACATAAGTAAAAGAAATTGTAGAGTGCCATTTCCCTCTGAAAATGCTGTACTTTGACTTTGTATTACTGGAAATACCTTTGCGGTTGAGATTATGCTACATTCTCTAAAGTCCCTGTTTGGGCGCCATGTGTATTAGCGTTTTTTAAAAGGAATTACTAAGAGCTCTTTGAAAATGATTAAAAGAAATTTAAACTGAATTAAATTGAATTCAAGAAATTGAAATTGAATTAAATATTAATTCACGAACTTAAGTTATTTTAAAAGTAAGTCCTTGTAGTTTTTGTTTGGGCGCCATTTTTGTGATTGCTAAGATCCTTTTAGTAGCCGAATGATGATAACACATCGTTGATTTAAAAACTTTTGTGCAAATTTGGTCTTTAAGGTTGGTTTGAACTGTTCAGATAAATATATAAAAAAGATTTTATTGCTTTAGCAGAACAACTAACCAAATACTCGCTCCATTTGCTTGCCACTTCGTTTTGGACCACAAAATTAAATGCAATCAATAATAATAATATGTATATATTTGTGTGTGTATGCGCGTGTACATAAATAAAAATACTTAAAAGGTAAACAAGAGAAGTATATAAAATAATAAAAAAAAAGAAAAAAACAAGAGAGTAAAATCTGTGGAAACTTAGAGTAAATAGTTAAGAACTAGGCTTAAACTTAGGCTACCAGGCAAAGACAAAGTCTGTGAGAGCCAACGAACCCCCCGCAGCTGCTAAAAGGTGATGGGGGTTGGGTGCTTCATAGCGAACTCCCCCCCTTTTATGCCATTTACCCCCACCCATTTAGACATTTTCCGGTTCTGGTAATTTGCGTTCGCAGCAATGACAGACGAGGGCGTTCAAACGTTGGCCAATCGCCGACCACACGGTCATCGACATGGAGGACACCTCGCAGCTGGAGGTGGCATCTGGTTGTTGTTGCTGCTGATGGTGCAGCTGACGGTGCTCCTCGTCGCCCACATCGCCGTCATCCTCATCCTCCTCCTGCTCCTCCTCCTCAACGTCACCATAGCCCTTGGTCAATGCTGCATCCTCCCTGGTGCTCCCCTGTTGTCAAATCTTTGGGCCCGCCTCTGATGACGATCCGCTGGCCAGGCCCAATTCCACACTCAAGCTGGGCGGCACTCGCTGGGCGGTTACCTCTAATCCGCCAGCTAATCCTGCGGTGCCAGTGCCTCCTACTCCTCCTCCTCCTCCCGCACTCTGTAGGGTATTGTTGCTGGGATGGCGACTGCTGTCGTTGGAGGAATATCGCATCATGCCGGGCACATCTAGACTGTAGGCGCGATGTCGCTGATGGGCATCATTCCCAGTGGTCAAGGTTCCAACTCCTCCGCCTCCTGCGGTTCCAGTCTCACCCATTCCCGCGTTGATGGTGCAGCAAATTCCCGGCTTTCCTCCTCCTCCTCCTCCGGTTCCCTCTTGATTTTCACCCAAGCCATTGGCATTGTTGTTGGCCCTTCCGGAACTGGAATTGGAACCGGGACATGGACTGCTCCGTGTGCTGCCAAAACGCTTGTTGCTCTTATCGAAGCTGAAGCTAAAGTAATCGGAGAACTGGCGCAGTCTCGATTTCCAGGAGCTGCCACCACCAGTCGAGGGTCCTGCGCCACCACCACCACCCACACCACCTCCGGTTCCAGATCCTCCAGGCACTCCAGAGCCACTGGCACTGCTCCGTGTACTGCCATTGCTGGGCAGGATTTGCTCGGTGACCACCAGGGGCGGCGATATATTACCATTCGATGAGGTGGCCAAGGGCAGCGACGGTATGGCAGCCAGTGGCATCATCTTCTTGCCATCTCCCTCGCCCTCCGAGTCCGCCTCGGTCCTGGCCAACAGCTCCTTGAGCTGACATCCGCCCGGATGATTGGTATTGGCATTGGTGTCCTGCGGAGCACTAATCACCGCACCACCGCCGCCGCCGGTCTCCATGCTGCTGCGATTGTGCCGACCGTAGAAAACATTACTATCCGAGATCACCTGCGGCAATCCGTCCGACAAGCGGCGATTATTCCCGGCACTACTGTACTGATCCAGGCTGACCGCCCGGTTGTTGCCGAAGTGACAGCGATTGCTGTGGTAGCCATGGATGTTGCCGTACGAGTTCCGGATCCGCTGGCCACCGCCGCTGCTGCACAGCTCGCCGATCATCGAGGGACGCTTCTCGCGCGACGACTTCCGGGAGGTCGAGTGCGAGGACTTGCTCCGGTTGCTGCTGCCCTCCGTGTCCACCTTGAACTTGGACGTCTTCTCGGCCACCTGGAGGAAAGAAAAAGAGCAAAAAAGAAAATTAGGATCAAATCACACGGTACATCAGCGGGCAGCGGTGCTTTTCTACGATATCTGCCGGGGCTCCGCCGACGCGCACGGTATACATTTGGTGGTCAGCCCATACACTCATATCTAAGTGTGTAAGCAAGAAATTTTAAGATAAAATCTACTTAAAGAGTGTCATGATGTCTAAAAAAATGGAATACTAAAATATTATTACACTTCAATTACATTTCATTGCATTTCAAAATTTTAAAAAAATCCGTTTTAAACTTTAAAAAAAATCTTAAAAACATTAAATTCTACTTGGGCTTTATTTGTTTTTATTATATCAATATTTTCAATTGACATTCCAATTATTTTTGTAGAATTGTATCGTATTAAAATATAATTAAACTAAACATGGGCGTTATTTCATTCCACCCTTAAACTACAGTAGTAGTTCTGCCTTTTAAAATGATTATTACAAATTTTATATTCATAAGATTAAGATTAAGATTAGAACTTCAACTGAACCGAAAAGTATTAAAACTTTTAAATATTATTTTGTTATATTTTGAGACCAACGGAAGTATATTAAAAATGTTGTATATCTTTGAAAAATCTATCTGAATAAATATCTCTATGAATATACATCGAATGTATAGAAAGTTTTGGCCCACTTACATCCACTTCGGTGGCCGTTTCCGAGTCGCCGCTCTCGCTGCCCTCCGGCAAATCGTGGAGCTCCGCCGCCATTCCGCCGGGCTCATCCACGGACGTCCTCGAGGCGGACTTCTGTGAGGGAATGCTGCGCCGCGACTTCACACTGATCCCGGAACCGGAACGTGGCATTTGTGGCGAGACGCTTCCGGCGGCATTGTTCCCACCGCCGCCGGATCCAGTACCTCCTGCCCCGCCTCCGCCGCCTCCTCCGCCGGAGCCCTGCGAGTTGCCCTGGGTCTTGTCCAGGCTCAGCTTATCGCTGGCCCCGCCCGGAGTGCTGACCATCGCCGCATTGGAGTCAATGGTGCCGCTGTTGCTGTCCGAGGTCGCCGACGTGTTGCTGTCCGCCACCGATTTGCGCGTTTTAGTCTGGGCATCATTAAGACGTCTGAAAGTCGAATAAAGAAAATAATTAATTTACATATAATACAGAAAACAATAGTGTATTTAGGATATTTTTATAAAATATTATATTTTTACTACTTTTTTAAACATTTTTAAAAGTCATCATTTTGCTTTATAAATTCCTAAGACATGATAGAATTAACTTGATATCGATTTATATTGATACATTTTTATTGAAATTTAATTTATCACTGGAAACTATTTCATATTTGTATAATTTATGCTTAATTTTGGTTGGTTTTACAAGTGGAATACATATTTCGTACAGATAAAATCACTTTTAAAATTTTTTTGGTTTTCTCGAGTGATAGTTAAAGTGAGAGTTTGCTCAGTTCTTATTTTAATGATTTTACTGAATGATTAATAGATAGATCGAGACCCTGTAAGACTTAGTTCTTATTGACACTAACATTGTAGAAAAACAAATTTTCTTAACAGGAACTTTATCTATCCGTGATATGTTAACCGGCACTCCAGAAACTGGCTCTTAGTTAAGTATAAATGATTTAAGATTTGTTTCCAGAAAATCAAAGGAAATGCCATGCCTGAATCCTTTAAAATTTAAATAGTGGTATAAAATGATAGGAAGACTTCCCTATTTTCTGTTATATAAAAGAGTAATACCTGTAGTACTCCAGGGCGATGCGCACGGGTATGATGATGAGGTCGGTGAGCTCCGGCACCAGTTCGCCAAGAGCCTCGAAGAGTGGCAGGAGGACGAGTCCGATGAAGCGGACCTGCGAGCCCGGCTTGCTGACCTTGTCCGGATCCATGAAGGGCGTCACCGGCAATCCTTCGGACTTCTCGGCGGCACTCTGGGCGAAGAACTCCTGGAGCAGGCGGTCCAGCCAGGGTTCGGCCACGTCCATGGGTCGCGCCTCATTCGAGATGTCCGCCACCTTGATCAGGATCATGCAGAGCTGCAGGATGAATTCCCAGCGGATTAATCTTGATTCTTTGGCAAGGGATCCTTGACTTGTCTTACCAGATTGATGTGCGCACGGTTGCTGTAGTCGAAAACGGGCGTTATCTCCATAAACTGGGTGAGGATCTCATTGTGACGGGCCATGTCCGTGGCCAAAATGCAGCGGATGATGCCCTCGCGAATGTTGCTGAAAAATATAAAAAATATACACATAAGTAAGCATTCAAATTAATGTTTTGTAAGACTAACAAAATTTATAAGACAGGAAAAAAAATTAGATTTCTCAATGTCAGGTTAACTTATGTCATTAAGTTAAGCTGATACAGGTTATAGGTAATATTCAATTGCCTTTTAACCTGAAAATAAATAAATAAATAAATACATTGCTTTTCCGTATAAATGTAGTTTTTAAATATTCCTGTAGGGTTTTATTTGACTTAAAGCATTTAACTACAGATAATGTTCTGGTTAAATTTGTTGGTCAACCGAACTGAGCCACAGAATTGTGTGATAACAGACTCCTTAAAGATTTGCCCTTCGGAAAATTAACATCACAATGAGAACACGGTTTAGTCTCCCTAAACAATTTAGCTTTATGTTAACTTTTTCAGACAGACAACAAGCTAAAAACCCTAACCAGACATTGAGAAACCGGACCAAACTTCGCAAAAATGTGTCCAACTTTCTCAAAGCTTTCCAATTTTCTATGTGTTTCTGTATTTGTAAAACATTTCTATAACAACCTGGTATTTAGTTGTTCATGTTTATTCATTTGCTTAGATCTTTGTTTCATTCAAATGAAATTGTGTAGAAGGAGCCTTAAACTCACGAATAATGAAAACTCACTTCCTTAGAGTGCATCTTAATTTCGAGCATTTCTCCCCGGGAATCAAGTTGTAACAATTTCAAAAGTTCTGCCCTTTTGTTTTCGCTGAAAATTGGTTTGCCCGCCGGCGGTCTGGAGCTCTTCAACTGAAGTCGAGATTGCGCTTTCCATGGCCAAAAGGTTGGCACTCGTGTGGGCGCCGGAAAGTGTTTACGGGGAAAAACAAGGCCAATGAAGTGCTTTTCTGTTTTTCACCGGAAAAACAGGCCGGGAGACTGACAAATGCAGCGCGTAAAATATCAAATTGCATTTCGTTTTATTTGAAATCGAGGCACCCAAGAAGACAAGAGTGTCGGGTGCAGCGAAAAAGAAAAGCGAGAGGAATAGCGAGCTGCAAATTGAATTTTTCATGTCAAGCTGCATTGACGTGGAAACTCCAAACTCCAGGTGGAAAATTCAACGCCGCCTGCCACCTGCCGCATTTAAACTGCAAATAGAGCAACGCATTTCACCCGACGCCGCCTTCTGTCACGACTTTATATATATATATATTTATTTTTATTATTATTTTCCCATTGGAGGCGACATCAAGCGGATTAATGCTACATTTTGCAGCGGGGTGGAATTTCGTGAAAGTTGAATGGAAAATTGCATCTCCATCAATAACTAAACAATTTCTGACATTTTGACGGCTTCAGGTGGTCTTTCTCATTCTCAAAAAACGGAAAAATAGACACTTACAATGGGAAAGCCTTCACAAAAACAAAAAAAATAGGTTACCTAGAATATAAATTATATGGCTTTATTGCAATTAAATTGTCGCGGACTTAGTTCAGTCACGAATTTCCCAGGCTGCTCAGGGATTCCATGGTCGAGTTGCCCATTACCCATTTATAACGCCCTTGATTGTCCGTAAATTAATAAAAATTTCAAATCACTAATGAAAGTGTCTAAAAGTATGCAATAGTATGATAAAAGGCCGTAAGAAATGCATTTTGTTGGGTTAAAAAATATCAGTAATTAAAATAAATTTTAAATCACTTATAAAAGTGTCTAAAAGTATGCAATAGTATGGTAAAAGTCCGAAAGAAATACATTTTATTGGATAAGAAAAAACAGAAAGTACTAGAAATTTCAAATCATTTATTAAAGGGCCTAAAAGTATGCAATAGTATGATAAAAGTCTTAAAATTCGATAAATCTATTCCGAAAAATTATGGTATTTTTTACTGCATACTTTTGTACAGCTTAATAAATGATTTTTAAGTTTTTTTTTGTTTCTGTGCAAGTCCCATATATTTAGAATGTAAATAAATTAATTTAAGGAACCAAACTTATCTAAAAAGTTTGATTAAAAGTAAAGTCTGGTGAAATTGTTTTAAGGGAAAGTTGTGATTTTCAATCAGTTAACATAATAGAATAACATGACATCTGGCTATTCCTTTGTGGCAAGAAAATACCTTGGAATTTCCCCAGCAAACCTCCAACTTAACCATTATCATAATCATCATTATCTTAGGACTTGGAATAACCTCGGAACGCACTGCATCTTGTAATGCCTTTCACTTAATTAATATCTGACGCATATGTGTGTGCCCACTTAATTCGAGATTTAATTAATAACAATGAAAATACCTGGAAATTCCAAGAACTCAGAGTTCGGAACTAGACGGAAATTGATTTGTGACAGCAAAGGATTTATGATTGTGGTAAGGATTCGGGTTTGGGTTAAGCAAAACAGACAGCTACCGTTAGTCGAAACACACTCCAATTAATGTGGAAACTGCAGTGATTATCCATTGCCGGCATTATCCTGCCACAGGAGCGGCAACTCCTTCCTTTTGCCCGCCATGATGATGATGAATTGTGAAATTGTGAAATTGTGAAATTGTGAAACGGAAAATGGAAAATGGCAAGTGGAGAGTGGAAAGTGGCGCGAGGACTGCCAGATGAGCAAAGTTTTGTGCCGACGAAAAACGGCAACTATTATGCGCTAATTATGACTAAATAATTGCATGAAATGCGCCGAGCGCCAACCAAAACTCAACTCGAAACTAATTTGCAAAGCGTCGAGTGCCGAATCTGCCGCCAGCAGATCCTTCTTCTGGCACACTATACACTGGGAAAAAATGTGAAGAGTGTATATTTTGGTAATTATGATTATCATGATTAAAAAACAGGATCAACGGTGTACAAAACACAATAATCTATTTTTTAAGTAGTTGTAGATGCTTAAAAATTTTCATGTATTAAAAAATTAAATAATCACTAGTGAATAATTCCATTTTTTAGCACTAGGAATATTTAAAAATGTATTATTTAGTTACTTTGTATTAACAAATATTGAACAAATATAGATAATTGTATTCTGGTAGTTAAAGATTTTTAAAAATATCAGTTGTGGCAGTTGAGAATTATTACTTACAAATTTTGTTAAGATAAAATACATATATTTAATAATTTATAGAGCTCCATTTCAATAAGCTATATTTAATTTTTGTGTGTATACTTAAGCGTAAATTATACCATTTAGTAATACACATTTTAATAAAACCTTTCGTTTGTTGTTAAGAATAACTTTAAAAAAATGTTTAAAAAAATATTTATCCAATTAAAAACTGCCCATTAAAATCAATTAATTCCTTATTTTTTCAGTGCATTATCTAATTTTTGCCTCTACCGCCTGGCTTCTCTTTGATGATTTATTTTTGGTTCAACTGAAGCAGCTGGTTTCCAGCTTACCGCCCCGCCCCCTATAAATTTCGCCCACATTTGGGCTTCGCACATCCTTCATCAGTTTGTTTGTTGAATTTTAATTGAATTTTTATTTTTTGATTCGATGCCACAAAACCGGCGATGGGCGGTCAGAACTTGATCCCTGGGCAAACACTCCGTGTGCAGATAGTTTACTTACTTAACAGCCATAAACAAATGGGGAAATCTCAATTAGGCGAAAAGGAAAGTTGCAAACGAAATGCAAAAACCTATTTTCCACTCAGTCCCTTTGCAATTTCTAAATGCATGTTATCCCCTAATTGCAATGGGATTTTGAGACCAGCCAAATAGCAACTAACTAAAGACCGCCTCAAAGGAAAAAGAAGTCAATGTAGAAGCTCTCTTTCTCGTTCAAAATTGAGTGAAAGGTGAAGCGAATACTCTACAAAGGTTTTTTAGAACTATCTTTTGATTTAATTCAGTAATGACTTTAATTTATTTTAATAAAATGTAGATATATCAATAAATTAATGCAAAAAGGTTTATTTAAATATCAATAAATGATGTATGATGAAATGTATTAAATGAAATTCTATGTGATCTCTATAAAAAGATATATATCTTAATTTAGTGAAGAATTTCCATTATTTATATTCTCAAACTTAACAAGAAATTCTAATCCAATTACTAAAGAATTCCCCTTAGTTTCAATCACAAATTTAACAAGAAATTGTAATCTTCTTTAGTGAGACTAAGTTCCCCTACTTTGCTTAGTTTATTTAAATTCTTTAATTTCACACAGTTACAATCGAACTGTAATCAATCGAAAAGCTAATCTGTCGCTCTCCCTTTATTTTTCTTTTTATTTTATTTTCCTCTTCCCTTTCATTCGTTTCCGTGCCATTTTATCTCCTTCTCAGGCAGTGTAAACTTGACTCTCAACATTATTAAAATCCCGTGCTTTGCTCACAATCGAAACAAAAAGCAGAATACGACCGCTCTACACGGGGAAATTTTACTGTGGAATTTGAGAACAAAATGTTCTAGGAAAATATAGTAGCACGATATATTTACTTCAAAAAGCAACCAAACAAACTGCATTTAGTTTCTGACATTGGACTATTGTAAACCTAAAGTTTTACATATTTAATAAAATAGTTAATGGTATAAATTTAAAAATAAAAGTAGTTGCTTAAATAGGTTTTAAATTTGAGTACCTTTTTTCAGTAAATTCTGTTCATCTAGTTTTTAGTGTCAGATTTTTAACAAGTTTTAAAAATTTAAGGAAATATTTAATGGTATAAATTAAAAAATGTAAGTAGTGACTTAAAAAGGTACCTAATTTGAGTACCTTTTTTTATTCCATTCTTGAAACAAGTAATTAAGAACATGTTTATTATAAATATGTGTATCAAGAAGTAGAATTAAATTTGAGAAAAAACTGATAGTATGGCTGCAATTTTGACCATATGGATAGAAAAATGTTTTTATACCCTATCTCAGGTACTGCATGTTATAAGGAACCTATAGATTTTCTGTTTCAATTTTTTCCAGTGTGCCCAAGCTTGTCTTTGTGAGAAGGGCGAATCATTGAAGGTGGCCAGCTAATTTGGTTTTGCATGGCAAAGTGAGTGAAGTAGTAGAGC